TAGCCAATATAATCATCCCCGCATGACTTGCAAGAGATTAGGTAAGTTGTATCAGATCTCATGTAGTCGCCGTCTCTACCGTTTGAGCAAACTTGGCAAATTTCGTTTCGCAGAGACGGTCATACAGTCGATTGCGTACTAATAATGCGCTTTAGTGTACTTGGGAGTATTTCGACTATTGCTGCCAAATTATCCAGACCTGCTCTTTTAGGCAGCGTTTGATAGCTGAACCCACTTTGTTGGTACTAAAGGTCAATTGAGTTGAGCCTTATACCTCTTATCTATCCTCTCATCCGTCATACAGACACGCTCAAGGGACAAAAGCATAAAGGAGCGTATAATGCATAAAACATACTATGAACAGCTATCAATGTATGTAATGAAAAGATCATTAGGTAAAATTACTAAGCTTGGCTCAAAATAGCCATTTTTGATGGCTACGATACAGCAGGAGCTCCTCAGGTTAGATTAGAGGTAACTCGGCGCTCCGAAATGAGATATCTGGCGAGGATAAGGTCTAACGAAGTGAGTGTAGCTTTTGAAAGCTGCTTGAAAAAAGTAGTTTTTCATAATTTGACAGCAGTAGTCGGGATACCCCCAAATGCAGTAAAGCGTCAAAAAGTCCGCAATCGACTGTATGACAGTCTCTGCGAAACGAAAAACTTCCAACTTTGCCCAAACGCTAGAGACGGGCTGAATGAGATTTGGTACAATTTATTTAATCTCCTGCAAGTAATGCGGAATGAATACATTGGCGAAAAGAGTGGAACACTCTGCATCTGTGTGTAAAAGCATTTAGCGAAGAAACGTAACTCCAACTCAAAAGCCTCACCAGACACGCGTAGGGGACAAAGGCATAAAGGATCATATATTGAAGATGAGTACACGGTCCTCGCAAAGGAATCAGAAACATCCTCGTCTATAGTTTTACAAGTCTTTTGAATGCATAGCAAGGACCCAAAATGAACCACAAGGAGGAGTGCCTTGTAATAGCGCGTGGCCTCGCGGTATACCTCAGCCTAATATTCTCGGCTTGAGGCGGGCACAGTCTCACTTACGCACTGAACGTAAGCAACATGTCTTCAATGAATAATTGTAAGACCTAAGACATTTAAACGGTGAGTGCTCAAAAATGAAACTTTTTACAAAGCGATTCAAATTCATTTTTTACGTTTTCTGCTGAGGTTTTGGAGGTTTTGACTGAGTAAATTACGGATCAATTTGACCTTTCCAGGCTCTGAAGAAGGCGAACCTTGTCGAAAAGTTAGCCAATTTACGATTATTGTATCATCTGTGCTGTATTACTACAATGTATATTTGTACTGCATCACTGCTATTCAATCAAAGCTTTTTCACTGCGCTTTTGCAACAAAAACAAAAACAAATAGAAGACCACATCTCAAATATTTGGAGTAATTAGTTCGGTGCCTAATCTTCATAGAGGGTTTGATTGTTAATGGCAAAGTGAAAGAAATAGGTAATATCTATAGAATAGTAGAACAACATTTCTTCTGCAATCCTAGCATTAAAGGCCTGAACATCTTTACGGCACGGTAAAAAATCTCAAATAAATGACGAAAATTTCGTCCGTTAAAGATGACAATTAAAATCTATGTGTGCCAGCATTTGGAAGGCTCGCGTTTTTGTTATTTATTCAGAGATTGCTTCTTCGTTCCAGAAAGAAATTTTCATTTCCTTAATACTTTGGTATATCTCGATTTCCTCTACACGTTCTTGTGCTATAAGTGCATTTATCCCCGAATGCTAATTGTGATTATATCTTTTCATAGCACTCTATGAAAGTCTTTTCAAAAGGCAAACACTTTCTGAATGATCGTTTTTCATGTTATCGATCAAGACTATTTAAAAAACCTAATTTAAGCGGTGACGCTGTCAAAATTTGAACTACCGAGTGTTTGTCAAAAATCTTAGGGAAAGCAAGGGTAGCCTCATTCGTGAAAGTAAATTTTGTGACTCTTTCCAGTCATAAATGACCACTTACTCTTTCCAGTCATAATGATCAACCGCAGGAAACCGCTTCGAAGCTTTTTAGTGGAAGCTGACTGCGAAACTGAGAGCAGTGAAATGTTTACCAGTTTCTTAATCAAGTCCTCGTCAGCAGATCAGCGTTTCTTCAAACAATGTTTGAACGTGTAGCACATTAATGGAAACATATCACTTGTAATATTTGCAACTACTACGAGGATTGATAGGATTGAGTGTCCAGCTTGTGACAGCTTTATAAGTAGCATATGATGACACCGGTATCCGCATACAGGAGCTCAAAGAAGTTGACTTCCAAACAAGATGACAAAATTTCTAATGTGAAATTCGAAAGACTGCAAGTGATAAAGTGACAAAGCTAACTTTCTTGCATGATGGTTTATAAGGGGATTGAGAAGCGTGATGATAAGGAATCTGTGCAATGTTGGCACTGTTGCTGGTTCTTCCATGCACTGGAGCAACTAAGTGTAATTTCTAATTTCCGTTCGCAGTCGACAAATTACTGCCATGGCTGTCTAACAGAAACTCCTCCAAACAAATTTCGCTGACAGTGCACATGATGCGCAGAGGGGACAGTGAGTATACAACAATGATTTCACGTGTTGTCGGAGTACTGTTCACTAGCTGAAGCACTGTTTGACAAGATTACGAGTTCATCCAATCTTAAACGAAAATGAAGACACTTCAAATTAATGACCGGACAATACTTGCTTATTTGGAAAACTTGGACAACTTTTCTTCACTGAGAGTGCGAGCCCCAGCGCAGGGCAACTGTGATGGTTTATCAGAATTCATTCTATTTGACTCCCCATAGCGGTGTCATGATGTTGCAATACACATAGTGATGTAGAGTGATGTGCAAAAACTTTTGCGCCACGTGAGATTCGAACTTACATTTCACCCTATCCGGGAGTGCATGCTGAACCGTTGCAATACTTACGCTCGCTTTGACACCACACTTTCCACGCTGTGCTGGTTTAGTTCCTTTGTCTTCTGGTGTCCCAAGGTAGGGCCTAACTGGATGCTTCCTCAGGTCTCCACGACATAGCGCAATCGTCGGCCATTGTGGAACATAGGGAGACCATCACCTTGCCACTAGAAACTACCGAGACGGCGGTCATTCGTGGCACGGTTCACTCTTAGCTAAGCGTCCCAAATGGAAATTGGGCATTTGCCCTTATAAATCCAAGGTCTAGCTTTGAAGCACGTTTTTACACCGTCACCACAGTATTTGTTATCCTTTGTAGGACAAAAAATTCGTATATTTGGGCCTGATGCATGAGGCCGAATGTGGATTTGAAAGTGTAGAAATAAAAAGTGGACCAATTGCGACTTTGCCACCATAAATTCGCGCCTCTTAATTTTTTCAATCTATTGTGCACAACCCGTAATCACCTTTAAACATAGGATCTTAGACTTTCTGAACTCAGTTCATTTTCTCGCTTCCATCAAGCGGGAATGCTCTCGGACTTTTGCGCGGGGTATGGAATGTTGCTCCGATGTTATCTTCTTTCTTTGAACGTTGTTGAATACGGTTCACTGCCAACATATGGGACCGGAATTCATGGGAGGCCTGGTAAGCTGGGGGCAGGATCGAACGGAACCGTAGTGGTGATGAGCAATATCACTAGCGGTGCTCTATCCACCCTAAGTCGACCTATATTACATAAGTATATATATATATATGATATATATATATATATATAATACATATATATATAGTACATTCGTGACTCTGAATAACCTTATTTATAGGGATATCTTGCTCAGCCAATGAGGAAAACTCTAAAAGTTGGTATGATGTTTATTGAAAACTCCACATCTTTGGATTCGTTTATTGGCTACAGGTGACTAATTTTACTATCACTATTTTTTACTTTTTTGGCTTCCATTATAAGTAAGGAAGCAGAAAAGTTCAAGTTACGACAAGTATTTAGGACATCTGCTTCGGCTGTTCTTATTGCTAAAGATCGCATTATAAAAGAAGGTCTACTTCCTGGATTTGATTTTGAGTGCGTTTCACGATACAGTTTCAGCACGTGGACTGTTTAATATTTGGAAATATCGCATTTTTTATGCCTAAGCTTCAGATTTCTTGTCAATTTCCTATCACACATATGATTTTCTGATCTTAGGTTTTTCTATGCGTTTGATGAATGTGATGAAAGAAGAGCCGCTGGTATAACAATAGCGATGGATCTCAACAAAAATGTTGATGTCATTCTTGGCCCAACGTGTAACAGTGGTGAGATCCGTTAGCTATTTCTCGAGCCTCCCATCTTCCTAAAGTTGGGATATAGTGCACGACCTATGTAAAAGCAATTGGTTCTTCCCGTTCGCGCGGAAACTCCTCGCCCAGCTAGCCCTGGGCTCTAGGAAAAATAGAGTTGAACACAACCCAAGGATGGAATCGGAGCAGAATCTTTGAGCAATAAACTACCTCACACTTAAGACGTTAGAAAATCTCAGTGTATAAAGATGCGGCGAACTGAGTTAGACGGAAAAACTGCAATCATGTATTTAATAAGTAATGAAAGAAAGTCTTTCCAACAAGAATGGTTTCTTCACTTCAAGAAGGACTCAGCTTTTCCATTTCGCAAAAGAATTATAGTGTTTTTTTGAGAGTACTGAACGTCAACAGTTTGAGAAACATACGCGAAATGAAGTTGAACGCCACGAAATCTCTTAGCACTGCCGGTTATTTGAGGATTTTTCCTGATTTTAGCTACATACGTATCTGGAATCCTTTCTGGATATTACAACAAGCCTTTATTTACATGGGGTCTAAGCACGTCGTCACAATTCGATAATGCTGGTCGCTTTCCCACGATCTGCGCTATGGCAGTGAACACGCTAAGGTTGGTGTTTACACTTGAAAACGACTCTTAAGGGATTTGATAAAAGTTTCCATAAAATAAGAATTCATTATATCTGACCACCTATTGTGGTGGTATGGTGTTACAATAAACCCAATAATGTAGAGTGGTGCGCAAAAATATTTGCATTAGCTGGGATTCGAACCCAGATTTCACACTGTCCAGGGGCGCGTGCTGAACTGCTGCACTACCTACAAATCTCAGCTGACGCAAATGTTTTTGCACATCACTCCACATTGTTGGATTTCCATAACATTGGACCTTCACTGACTCAATGCTGAGTAAAGCTGATCAGTGATTGTTAGTAAGCACTGGAACGGTGATCCTAAGTCAAATTTTTGTGCAGAATTTCTTTCTGTCGCATTTGAATTGTTATTCATATTGCTGTTAATGTTCTAGAATGATGTGTGCTAATGGTATAAAACTGAGCTCACATAGTGGTGAAAAGAACTTTTTCACTTTGCTTGATGTGTCTCAAAGTTTTTTTTCACAATCGTTTTTCGTCTTCTTCTCGAACTTCTTGAAATACTGATATAGCGTATCTCTTGCAATGCGCTGTAGCACTTCATGGGACGTTCGTTGTCAACTACCGCAGAGCGCTAGAAGGTGGGATCAGCCTCGCGCTGTGCCGCAACGAGCATTACAATCACTCGGCCACGGCCTCCCGATTTCACACTTAGAGAACGTGAAAGTAACACCGAATGGAAATAGACTATCAAAAAATTCAATCCTTCATGTTGTATTCACACTTATTTTCAAGCTATGGTGACTATTCCGATAAATTTAACGTGACATCTGAGCCGCTGTCACTAGAGAACATCGACTGAGATTATGGTTCAAACAATACGGTTAAAAAGAGGACTATCGCCTTAGTTCTGGATGAACTCGAGCCATATACAGACCCAATAATCGTGGCAGTCGAGCACTCCATGCTCGTAAATAATGCTGAGCGGCAATTCGATTCCAGGAGATACCGCTACAAAGAAGTCTTGTTAGCTCCTCCACACTCTTATTGTTCACATTCGGATCAGTCTCTAGTAAATAGTATTAGATATACTCAGTGATGTAGAGTGATGTGTGAAACTTTTGCGCCAGGCAGGACTCGAACCCACATCTTAGACTCTTCGGGAGTGTGTATTCTAACCCGTCGCACTACTGACGCCCATCTTGCCATCACTCTTTCTAGGCTACAACGCATCTTTCTGTCAGCAATCAACTGTCAACGGTTGGCCCAGGTAGTCGGTATCGACACTGAATCCAGTTACATTGACAGGTATTGAGTGTTGGATGATTAAATCGAATTCTTCCTAATTGATGTTTTTTGTTATTTTAAATTGGAAGAGTGATGGTAAAACTGGCGTTAGTTGTGGCGCAGCACCGAAGAGGTTCTGCGCAAATTTGAAGGAGGTTTTCTGCTGAGTACCGCCTATCATCCGGCCACTTGGTGAGGATGGACTTTTGTGGGTTGATTGATGATTTGATTGGTAGTCACTATCGGTCCGTAATGGATTCAACACGATAGATCATAGGTTTATTAGGCAACAACGTTATATTCGTATAGACAACAATGATAGAGTCCATTACAGACCAACCTGATCCCTGATATATATCCCAGTATTATATAATATATATAAATATGTATCAGCACAGTGATGATATATATATAATAAAATCGTCATCACTGTTTGTTATTGTTATTATATGATTACTATATATCTCATCACTGTGATGATACATATTGATTCTTATTTATATCTATATATATATGGGATTATTATATCAGGGATCAGGTTGGTCTGTAAGGACTCTATCATTGTTGTCTATACGAATATAACGTTGTTGCCTAATAAACCTATGATCTATCGTGTTGAATCCATTACGGACCGATAGTGGACTACCAATCAAATCATCAATCAACCCACAAAAGTCCATCCTCACCAAGTGGCCGGATGATAGGCGGTACTCAGCAGAAAACCTCCTTCAAATTTGCGCAGAACCTCTTCGGTGCTGCGCCACAACTAACGCCAGTTTTACCATCACTCTTCCAATTTAAAATAACAAAAAACATCAATTAGGAAGAATTCGATTTAATCATCCAACACTCAATACCTGTCAATGTAACTGGATTCAGTGTCGATACCGACTACCTGGGCCAACCGTTGACAGTTGATTGCTGACAGAAAGATGCGTTGTAGCCTAGAAAGAGTGATGGCAAGATGGGCGTCAGTAGTGCGACGGGTTAGAATACACACTCCCGAAGAGTCTAAGATGTGGGTTCGAGTCCTGCCTGGCGCAAAAGTTTCACACATCACTCTACATCACTGAGTATATCTAATACTATTTACTAGAGACTGATCCGAATGTGAACAATAAGAGTGTGGAGGAGCTAACAAGACTTCTTGTAGCGGTATCTCCTGGAATCGAATTGCCGCTCAGCATTATTTACGAGCATGGAGTGCTCGACTGCCACGATTATTGGGTCTGTATATGGCTCGAGTTCATCCAGAACTAAGGCGATAGTCCTCTTTTTAACCGTATTGTTTGAACCATAATCTCAGTCGATGTTCTCTAGTGACAGCGGCTCAGATGTCACGTTAAATTTATCGGAATAGTCACCATAGCTTGAAAATAAGTGTGAATACAACATGAAGGATTGAATTTTTTGATAGTCTATTTCCATTCGGTGTTACTTTCACGTTCTCTAAGTGTGAAATCGGGAGGCCGTGGCCGAGTGATTGTAATGCTCGTTGCGGCACAGCGCGAGGCTGATCCCACCTTCTAGCGCTCTGCGGTAGTTGACAACGAACGTCCCATGAAGTGCTACAGCGCATTGCAAGAGATACGCTATATCAGTATTTCAAGAAGTTCGAGAAGAAGACGAAAAACGATTGTGAAAAAAAACTTTGAGACACATCAAGCAAAGTGAAAAAGTTCTTTTCACCACTATGTGAGCTCAGTTTTTATACCATTAGCACACATCATTCTAGAACATTAACAGCAATATGAATAACAATTCAAATGCGACAGAAAGAAATTCTGCACAAAAATTTGACTTAGGATCACCGTTCCAGTGCTTACTAACAATCACTGATCAGCTTTACTCAGCATTGAGTCAGTGAAGGTCCAATGTTATGGAAATCCAACAATGTGGAGTGATGTGCAAAAACATTTGCGTCAGCTGAGATTTGTAGGTAGTGCAGCAGTTCAGCACGCGCCCCTGGACAGTGTGAAATCTGGGTTCGAATCCCAGCTAATGCAAATATTTTTGCGCACCACTCTACATTATTGGGTTTATTGTAACACCATACCACCACAATAGGTGGTCAGATATAATGAATTCTTATTTTATGGAAACTTTTTATCAAATCCCTTAAGAGTCGTTTTCAAGTGTAAACACCAACCTTAGCGTGTTCACTGCCATAGCGCAGATCGTGGGAAAGCGACCAGCATTATCGAATTGTGACGACGTGCTTAGACCCCATGTAAATAAAGGCTTGTTGTAATATCCAGAAAGGATTCCAGATACGTATGTAGCTAAAATCAGGAAAAATCCTCAAATAACCGGCAGTGCTAAGAGATTTCGTGGCGTTCAACTTCATTTCGCGTATGTTTTCAAAACTGTTGACGTTCAAGTACTCTCAAAAAAACACTATAATTCTTTTGCGAAATGGAAAAGCTGAGTCCTTCTTGAAGTGAAGAAACCATTCTTGTTGGAAAGACTTTCTTTCATTAACTTATTAAATACATGATTGCAGTTTTTCCGTCTAACTCAGTTCGCCGCATCTTTATACACTGAGATTTTCTAACGTCTTAAGTGTGAGGTAGTTTATTGCTCAAAGATTCTGCTCCGATTCCATCCTTGGGTTGTGTTCAACTCTATTTTTCCTAGAGCCCAGGGCTAGCTGGGCGAGGAGTTTCCGCGCGAACGGGAAGAACCAATTGCTTTTACATAGGTCGTGCACTATATCCCAACTTTAGGAAGATGGGAGGCTCGAGAAATAGCTAACGGATCTCACCACTGTTACACGTTGGGCCAAGAATGACATCAACATTTTTGTTGAGATCCATCGCTATTGTTATACCAGCGGCTCTTCTTTCATCACATTCATCAAACGCATAGAAAAACCTAAGATCAGAAAATCATATGTGTGATAGGAAATTGACAAGAAATCTGAAGCTTAGGCATAAAAAATGCGATATTTCCAAATATTAAACAGTCCACGTGCTGAAACTGTATCGTGAAACGCACTCAAAATCAAATCCAGGAAGTAGACCTTCTTTTATAATGCGATCTTTAGCAATAAGAACAGCCGAAGCAGATGTCCTAAATACTTGTCGTAACTTGAACTTTTCTGCTTCCTTACTTATAATGGAAGCCAAAAAAGTAAAAAATAGTGATAGTAAAATTAGTCACCTGTAGCCAATAAACGAATCCAAAGATGTGGAGTTTTCAATAAACATCATACCAACTTTTAGAGTTTTCCTCATTGGCTGAGCAAGATATCCCTATAAATAAGGTTATTCAGAGTCACGAATGTATATATATATATGTACTATTATATATATATATATATATATATATATATATATACTTATGTAATATAGGTCGACTTAGGGTGGATAGAGCACCGCTAGTGATATTGCTCATCACCACTACGGTTCCGTTCGATCCTGCCCCCAGCTTACCAGGCCTCCCATGAATTCCGGTCCCATATGTTGGCAGTGAACCGTATTCAACAACGTTCAAAGAAAAGAAGATAACATCGGAGCAACATTCCATACCCCGCGCAAAAGTCCGAGAGCATTCCCGCTTGATGGAAGCGAGAAAATGAACTGAGTTCAGAAAGTCTAAGATCCTATGTTTAAAGGTGATTACGGGTTGTGCACAATAGATTGAAAAAATTAAGAGGCGCGAATTTATGGTGACAAAGTCGCAATTGGTCCACTTTTTATTTCTACACTTTCAAATCCACATTCGGCCTCATGCATCAGGCCCAAATATACGAATTTTTTGTCCTACAAAGGATAACAAATACTGTGGTGACGGTGTAAAAACGTGCTTCAAAGCTAGACCTTGGATTTATAAGGGCAAATGCCCAATTTCCATTTGGGACGCTTAGCTAAGAGTGAACCGTGCCACGAATGACCGCCGTCTCGGTAGTTTCTAGTGGTAAGGTGATGTCTCCCTATGTTCCACAA